AAAAAAAAAAAAAAAAAAGATATTTCCAACCTAATCTAACTAAAATAATTAAAACTATTCAGTCTCACTATCTTAATTGTTTTTAGATTACAAAATAACGGTATCAAAAATCTTCGAGAAACGGCTTTTAATTTATATGGAAATTCTGCGGTTTGTAAGCGATTCGGAGTTTGGGTAGAAACATTTAAATTGCTTTTCTATGTGGCCTTAAAGGAGTTACATTTTGGTACAAAAAGGCAAAATAATACGCACAACACACCGTCGACAAAATGTTTTCCTCTTTTTCATTTAAAAAGAACACATTTTAGTTAGAAAGTTTAGATACCTTCCCTCAATTTAAGGATCTGTCGTGATAATAATAATTAATACTTCTATACTAAAACATAGGAGAGAAATCAATGCGTAACATATCAGAGAAAGTATTAAGCTTATGTTGTTTATTGTCTATATGTAGTAATTGTAGCTGGTGGCTAGTATTGTTATAGTTGTATACTTACCTAATAGAGACAAGTATCATAGCGAATATGAGGTATTTCCCGAGCAGCGGCACCACCAAAGACGTCGGAGGGATAATCTCCACAACCAGTAGAAAGAACACGTGCAGACTAATCAAGATGGAGATCGATAGTGTTACCTGAAACAGTCGCTAAAGTCAATGATAGAGTTCCCATCTTACCAATATTATAAATGCAAAAGTTTTGGATGGTTGTGTGTTAGAGTTTGTAGCCTAAAACGGATCTCCAGGAAATTTGGCACAGATGTAGAGTACAGTCTGGAAGAACACATAAGCTACTTACCTTTGTTTTTTTTTTGAATACCATGCAGATAGGATCGCGGACCAAAGTTAGTGTTACTTTGACCAATACTTAACGGCAATTATATCGTGGTCAATCACGACTTTATTCACTATTCCATTTGCACAAAAGGAAAAAAGCTGCAATGGCTGTCATGTATGGAATTAAATATTCCTCTGTGGTCGAAATATTTTTTTTTGTGTCAGTAAAAAAGTGTGTTGACCCTAAATACAAAGTACACTTTTTATCACTTAGGAATATCAGTAGGTACACGTAAAGTGTACTCATATATTGACTCAAGGCTTATTCATGTTTACTGCCCTTAGTCCCCACTTCAAAGCTTTTGTAGAGATCGTCTGGCAAAAGGCACGTATGCCTGTTTATCTTAAGTCTGAATTGGTCGTTGGGCTTTTAGTAACACATCATTATCGAATTGGTTTTGTATCGAACCTACCCGATGTTTACATGTTTCGAAAAAGGTTTTGTTTGACGTAGAATATTTAAAGCAGGTAACTCTAACACATGTTTACATAAAATATACGAGTATTTGCATAATCTGTATTTGTTTCTCGTTTGAATTATTTGTTTAAATACGGTTGTAAACCAAAGAGGCAGTAGTGATTACGGATGTCGATTTACATGTTTAAACGTTTTTAATATAAATTGATAACCTATAACATCCCTGAAATATAATTTACAAGTATAAGATATGTTTTACTTTATTGCAGACACTCGGTAATCGCAATGGAAATGCACAATGTGGTTTTAATCAAGGATTAAACATCAATCAAATATTAATTAGCAAGTCAATTAAATGCGAGTTAAGTTCAACATTAATTAACAGTCAATAAATAACATCGTTAAACACGTTATCTTATCGACGGAGTAATTCAGTTTGTAATAAGACGGGCCGGGTTTCTACTTGATGGATGGTTATTATAATCTCCTCTGAAATTTAGTATTCAAGGTGTGGAAAGATGGAGCCAATAAATTTCGTGTTATATTTCAGGTTTAACGCCGGCTTTACGGCCTCGTTAAAGCAATTTTGTTCACGCTGTTTGCTTTATATGTTTTGAAGCAATATCTTAACATTCAAACTTTTGCGTAAAATTTTCGACATGATTCGACAAATTTGTTTGATTTATGCTGTTCTAAATTGGAGTTGCGAGTTGGTTAGAATTAAAAAACTCCATGGACTAATACTATTATTGTGATATCTTACACTAAGCTGTCAAGCCATAAGAGTGATTGTCAGACTGTCAGTTTTTTTCAATAGCATTAAGGTATTCATGCAGTCAGTACGTAGTGTTATGGGAAAAGCAGCGAGCAACGAGCTACTGGATACGGATGTTACACCACGTAACGTCAGTCAGTACCCACCTTTAAGAGACATCAAATACGTTACAGAGACTATATTATCTACTTTAATCGGTTCGTAAACTTTATTCACCTGACTTGATATTAAAAAACAAAGACGGTAATAACGAAGGTGTTTACCTTTTCTCCGCTGTCTGAAGGTAGATAAAACGTGAGCACGGTGAGGAAGGAGATGCCCATGCACGGTATAATGATGTTAACCGTGTAGAAAAGTGTTTTCCGCCTCATCGTGATGTTGAACGTTATATCCAAGTACGGCTCGTCGCAACACGTGTAAAATTTCTCGTTTCTGAAAAACAACGCAATTATTAACGCACATTTAGGTATGTTACGGTTTACACGCATAAAATTGTTACGCAAATTTTTTAACACACATTAAAAAGGAATTAAATCATTCGTAGCATAAAATTCTCTTGTAATTCTAAATATTTATTACATGTAATGATCTATTACATATCTTTTATTGATTATTCAATAACTTCTTATAATGTCGTCCACTTAAACGAGATGTACACCGTACTTACAATTTACGACGAAAGAGAGACATAAAAATGCATATATGTACGCAATTTAGTGGAGTGCGTCATAAAATGCTTCCTCGTTATTATATCTAGCGTTTCTATTACCATAATGTAAATGTAAGGTGAGAAAGAAGTCTCTGAGGTGTCAACTTCAATAAACAGCACAAAATAATTCATTTTATAACGGCGAAGACTTAAGCAAAACCATTACATATACTATTATTTTTGTAAAAATGTACAAAAGTATAATATTTTTATATAACGTCTTGATTTATCTGTACTTTCTTTTAACAAATTTCAAAGGTCATAAGTAAATAACAAGAATGTATCTTTAAAAGTTTTAAAAATATGGTCCAAAAAGTTTCTGATAACTCGATACGCACGTCGTAAATATAAGACAGTATAAATTTTTTCCCAAAGCTTTCTATATTCGAGAGATTATTGGAAAACTTCCATCGTAATAAGCATGAGGCAAGCTAACTTACGGCAACTTTAATTATTAAGTAGGAAGAGTTGGGAGGCTTTCAACGCTTACAGTGATAATGGAAGATACCCTGAAGGCGTGTCGACGTCGACTCAACGTCACCGTGAATTAAGTTATTTATTGATATTGATAGAAAGTTGTTTACATTATACAATATTTATTTACCTAAGTAATTAAATTCATAACAAACTTTTAAATAAACAAGACAACTAAGTTAACAGGATAATAGAGACTTTATAAAGTTCAAAGATAATTGTTTAAAATAATGAAAAAATAAATTACAAAATAGGTAACACAATTTTTGCTCGTGTTTTACCTCTCATTTAGGTAACTACTATGGTAATTTATTATCCTTTGTAGACCTAACTGCCCAGTTAGGTCACAGGTTCGAGTACCCACTCGAAAGTGTAGTTAGTCAAATTGTTTAAATGACATTTTTAATTATCCAAAAGTGATATATTCACTCAAATCTATTGTTGTGTGATTACAAAGGGGTGATGTATCGATGTGTCCTTGTAAAGACGACTCGTGATAACGGTGTGGGGCGGATTGAACCTCACAGGGCGGTAACTCGAGGTCGTAAAAGTGTCGAAGCAATTTTACGGTAAGACGCTTAATACGGCTCATGTTCGTATTATATTTGTACTTAAAGATATATCAGCAACATCAGGAGCGCAATGGTGAGGGATTCCTTAAGATTAATCCTGGCACGATTTACCTTATTTTACCATAAAAGTTAACTTGGACTATATATTACAGTACTTAATATGATTTTCAGATAGTCAAGTTGAATAAAATTACACTCAATATCTATGTGAAAGTTCAAACTTATGCGTAACCTTCTACTAATTGCAAGGCAACTTATACGTCGACGTAACGCGCATGAATAAACCACATTTAAGTATTTAAAATAAAATGTAACTTTATCACAATATGTAAAGTTTTCACATCTAAGTTTTGATAAAGTCATTAAGTCGCAGACACGTCGTATTTTATAGAAGCGGTGTGCGATAAGGTTGAATGAATAGTGTTTTAGTGAAGCTTAAGTTGGCATCAAAGTTGACGTGAAGGCGAGGTAAGTGACGTTAGCTTAATAATGGGCGGCGTGCACCGACCGACGGCACCCGGCCGTAGATGCGAGGATAACGTTTTGAAGATATTTTACTGCATGAACATCTAAGAGCTCATGCGTTTTATCTCGTTGTATAATACGCTACAATTTAAAGAATATATGAATGGATAAAATCTTTATGTTATAAATTTTTAAATTCGACTTTAACTCTCCTCCACCATTATTTATATTAACGTTTACTAATAGCAGTAATCAGAGTTGTCAAGTTGGCACTAAGGAAGTCCTTGAGTGTTTCCTATCTTATCGTTTCTTATAAAACCTTATACCGTATTAATTTATGGCAAGAATTTAAGAATTTTGAGACTTTTGATTAACTTAACTAAAATCTTATTTTTTTTATAATTGTTTGCAGATAAGTGTCATTTAAAAAAATAAAATCTGGTTAAAAAATTAAATTGTGATTATAGTAAGGTACTTTTAGAGGCACTCTCGATAAAGTCTTGGCTGAAGAGTGTGGCGAGTAACTTTTACTTTACAGCGTAGAAATAACTTTGTCACAACGCCGTTAAACTGAAGATTAGGTTGCTTTAATTAATCTTGTCGTAAACAAATTATAAACTTCAAGTATGTAGGTACAAATAAATTTTCTAACCCAACAAAAATTAATCTAGACAAAGTTAAAAGTCAAACATTTATAAAAGTTTTAATTAATTAAATGATATTACTTTCTGTTATACAATTATAAAATTTATTTCCATTTACATTGTTCTTGGAATAAAAAGCTCTCAATACTGAAGTGCTTAAACGAACTGAAAGCGAATAAGAAATTTAATTGATGAGAAGTTTGTACACCGCTGGATTTGATTAAAGCAGGGCAACGCCGCAATCAAAACTTAGTACGTTGAAAATTTTCAAGTTTTGCATTTGATTTTAAGAATTTATTTTAAATTGTAACTAAACTACAAAAACTACTAACAATTATTAAAACAAAAGCTAATAAGTATTTAAATAATTACCAAAAAAATACTAAATCATTTGTAACAATAAAATGAGTACGAAATAGTAAACAACATAAAGAATACTTTTGTTTGTATAATGTCCTTTAAAATTCACTTTTGTATTATTTGTTAAGGTATCGTATTTTGTGAAATAAAACGTAGCTCCCTCAACAAATCCATCGTAATTGTCCCCAGCGGTTAGTGTCTGTGTTTAAATTCTCTTTGAAAGGCCGCAAATCTTTTGTTGAGCTTCATAATGGATAATACTCGAATCAATGAAGTTTATAGCAGAGACATGTTAGATTCTTTTGAAGAGGTTTTACCGTGACTTTACTATTTATTTATAAAAAAGTTAACAGACAATTGTAGTCCGTGTGTTAACAAAATCACCATAGTTAATACGTAACGACTACGAACACTGAACTTACTTTCATTTTTTTTTATAATATAAGTTGGTAAACAAGGAAGCGGCCACCTGAATCCGACCACTGCCCATAAACATCGGCAATTACAGATGCGTTGCCTTCCCCTAATTGACGGAAGAGGAGATGCACATGAAGAGGACATTTCCCCTTCATATGCGTCTCCTCCACCGTCAAATCCACTTTTCCTTCTCATCCTTTTCTCTTATTAAAAGGGTGGAAAGGGAAAGGGACTAAATTTATTGGGTAATTATTTAAGTTAATTATCCTTTCATCTATGTTAGAAGGTGGAAAAACAATAGTTAAATTTAATTTACAAAAACTAACCTGACTGCGGGTACTTCGAGTATGTCCCATTCAACTGACATGTAGAATTCTGAAAGATCGACTCCGACGGACACCACATTGCTGCCAGCTTGTTCATCCATATGTCTGAGGTCGACCTGTACACACGCACTCCACAAACATTATTCAGTACTTTATGTTGTCATTCAAATATAAGGACATTCAATATTGTAACAGATTTTTTTTTTATTTAAAGATAAATCAAGGAAGACAACAAAAACATTTTTCATTATTTTCAAATATGAAATTTGTTGTCAAGGATAAGGTACGCAGAAATTTTCTTGGAATGTGACCAAAACTATTATTTCTTCTTTTAATTTTCTTTGAAGATAAATTTTGTAATCTAAATTAGTTAAGTAAAGGGTTTATAAAAGGATATCTTAAAAGTATTGTATGTTATTAAATATAAAACATCGACAATCACGAAAAACACATAAAACACACACTTTATTTGGCAATGCTTTTAACTGTTTGCTTTAGTAGACAGGCGAGTAACAATGCAATTTATTTATCTACATATTTGCATAAAACAAAAATATGTAATTAAACTTTAGCCTTTATAAACCAAACATAGCGTCCAAATATTTTTGTTCAAATGCAAATAATAGATTTATTCATTAAAATCAGTTTGATTTATTTTTAAAACACCTCGTTTTATTTTGAAAAAAATCATTAGTTTAACTCGAGACATGCACCCTGCCACACAATGTGAACCTATGCTAGAATACCACACATGAAAACACCATCTGGTCTAAAACACTAAATCAAACTCGAGCGCCGTTAAATCATAACAGCAGTTAAATGACGTCCTTGGAAGACGATAACGACTAAACCATACCACAGAGTGTGCCAAGAAGGTACCTGTGTCGACAAAACGATCTAAAACAATTAATGTTAATAAACTTTTAAGTCCACTCTTTTAAAACATTTATTACCAAAGAAGACAACAACAATAATGTCAATTCATGCGAAGTAATGACAACGCGTAAACTTTTTTAACACACCTATGAATGAAAGTCCGGATATTCTGGTGATCGTGAATCGAGGAGTCGGTCTTCTTATCGGACTCTGACGCAATCGCAAGGAGGTTTTAATTGCTGTCTGGTAACAAATGACGTGGTCGTCTGTTCCCTGCGATTTGTCACAAACAAGTAACAGAGGAGATCGGAATACCGGCTCCGCCGCGCTGTGTGTGTGCCGCACATCAGCCATGCGCGTCATGCCAAATACATTACATTACTTAGGAGCATTTACTTTTTTAAAATTTAGCAATTAATGTGTACAGTTTTGGCATCGGCGTTGACTTTCTAAAGTGTAGCGGTTGCATGCAATTTTAAAGGGTTTCATCGATTGAATCTTTGAATTCCGTCGACGAAATGGCCACTACTTTCAACATCTAATTCGGACTGTGTGCACTAAGGACTCCATGTTTGAATTTGAGTTGGACTGTATCTGAATCATCATTGTAATGTCAATATCATGCAATGGTCAGTGACACCGAATTCTTCCAGCCACTAAAGAGTCGCTAATAGGGAAAGGTATAAAATATGAACGATGATACCAACTTATGTTCGGAATTGTGTCCAAGTATAATTCTGTGACGCGGTGTACTCCTGTTACGTAGTGAGCGTCTTGTGAGGCGTGTGAGCCGAGGCAGCGGCCGAGTGTAGCGACGTGATCGGGAATGCAATCAGATCAGACAAGCCGGAAACGTGCTGTGAGTAGAGTGCAGACACGAGAGGAGCATGCAGCAAGCATGGGAGGGGGCGCGTGTGTTGTGTGTGTGTGTGTGTAACGCGAGCGGAGCCAGCTGGGAGAGGTGTGGTTGTCGGCGCCGCACCGCGCAGCGCTCATTCGATACTAAAATAGTAAGAATTACACAGAAACATATTTACCCAGAAAAGATGTAAAACAAACATTCAATGTGGATGGTTTTCCAGAAGCTAATAAAAGTCAGCAGACAGCGCGGCACGGCTCAGCCGGAGCGGGACATGTCGGGAGGGATAAAATCGAGTGATGTTGCATCCCATATCACCTGGCTTTGAAATTTTATACCTTTCCGTGTCGAGCGAGGAGGGCCGATCGAACTAAGTGGAACCGACCGAGTCTCTGTCTGGAGCATTTGTGGACACGCGCGTAGATTTACTGCTACTCCACATATTACAAGAACATCATCATCACAATAGATATAATAAAGTTGCAACATGACAGAGCTAAGGCGCTGTGGGGTGAGCGGGCGGAGAGCGGGCGGCCGGGGAACAAGGGCGCGCGCTCTGCGCCCGGCTGCAACCGCCACGCGCTCGCAGAGAGCCAGTAACATACCACATGGACAAAGTAAGATAATACACGACGAGTTACGTTCGAGCGGACAAGCTACTGCACGGACATCGGGCGGGGCGGCGGGCCCTATGCTACGACCCGCGCGCGCGGCGCCAAGCGGCGTACAGCGGGGCGTCACCTTAAAGCCGTCATATGTCCAGCTGCCTAACTTAAGCACACAGGTTTGCACGTCGTAAGGAAAGAACTCGACGTCGATCGAGCAGGAGGACTTATAGACGGCGGGCGGCTGCCACACCACCATGCCGTTGTAGTAGACCGTTGCCTTGGTCATCAGCGTCACCTCGTAGTTGCCGTCGGCGCTGCGGACAAACAAAGCGGTCAGCCGGGGCGGGGCGACGCGCGCATTTACCTTGAATCCGTCGTACGTCCAGCTACCGAACTTAAGGACGCACGTTTGCTCGTCGAACGGAAAATATTCCACGTCAATTTCGCAGGAAGACTTGTAAATTGCGGGCGGTTTCCATTCGACTAATCCCTGGTGGTAGATGGTCGCCTTGGTCGCCAACGTTACCTCGAAGTTGCCGTCGGCACTGCAATGGTAATGCATTTTTACAAGCGGCACGGGCCTCTAAGAGGACCCCTCTTGTGGCGTGTGTACTATCGCGTATGTACTGTTGCGCTGTCGGTTGTGACGTTTTCATTTGCCAGGCTGCTGAGTGCCTACGAGATATCTGTGAGTGTTTCTGTTGCTGTAGTGCGTATACTTACTGATACGATGTGTGTGCTCTGTGTAAACAGTTGGTCATTAATATTTCCTATTAAATTATTCATACAAAATCCATATACGTGCTGATATTAGTGCTAACTAATACGAAATTAGTCTTAAAACATAACGTTGCGTGAAATAAAATATGTTTAAACTCAATTGTAGTGCTTATAATGCATAATGAAAATTTCGTTATCTGCTAATTTTTAAATTGATCGATATATTTTTATGAAGTTTATAAGTGTTTAAGAATTTATCTAAGGTTAAATTATTAATTTACTAAGTTTTTCTGCGCGCAAATTTATAAATTAACGTATACGTTAAAAATATGAGATAACTGTAAATAAAGTTCAAGAGCACGTACAGTATCTTGAGCATTTCCAAATCTTTTATCAGTGAACATTACGATATAAGTTCAGACCTTTTATTTAATCAAAAGTAGGTAAACAAAAAGGGGATTGAGTAAAAGGAAGACGCGGACATTAGGGCGGTAGGCACAGGTTGCGGAGACGTCGCAAATGAATAACGAGAGCCGACCGAATCGTTTATCAAAGTCCGTCTGAAGGCGACAGAGTCTGCGGACAGGACGAAATGAATGTCGTCTTATAACTCAACGACAACTGGACCCCAATATCTCCCGTCAAAGGAAATCTTGGAGTTGTAATTACATTTTTCATATCTCTGCATTGCAATACAAAATTTAATTATCTAAGTGACAAGAGAGTGATGGTTTTGGATGGTATGTATAGTGTTATGTAAACGGGTGCTGACGAATGTGGTGTTGTTCGATCGGCATTTTCCACGGTGTGCCAGCCAGATTTACTTATTTTGGTAAAAGACAACTAGTTTGTTAAAATTAATTTCTATATAAACTTATCAATAAATTACCTTCATTTGGGTAGAAAATAAAACGGCGAAGATGTTTTAAAAGATACGAGTAGTTCGTGCTGTAATTAAAATTTTAATAACAGACTTAAAGAGGAAAACGATCAAAATAATTAGGACGGAAGAGGAAAGGACAGTAATAAAAAAGGTGTAAATGTTTCCGTAGGTTTTTAATGCCTTCAATTAAGCTGCGGTCAGCAAGGGACAATACACGTCAATTTATTATTTTCAGGCTAGCTCTTAAAGAGATACTGAGAGATATTAAGTAGTCTTCCTTAGTATTTCGTATCTTAAATCTAGTCTCTCTTAGCAAATTTACGAGATCTCTTATTTTGTGTTTTTAATATTCTCATATTTTCTATATGACCACTTCTATATAGAGAGTAGAAATGGTAGAAATGTTCGTATCTTTGTACAAAGGGTCGGTTATCTAATTATATTAAAGCAAATTCCCGGAGTCTTATATTAAAGCGCGACATCCTGCCGCTAACTTTGTTATTACGAATGTTATCGCGCCCAAGTTTTAAGCGCTTCCCGCTTTTATGAGGATCACAGAATTTGTGAACTACACCGCAGAGACGTGCCACCTTCAATTCAATTTTGATTTCGCAAAAACCGCATTATAATGATGGTTGTTCCGAAAATAATCTTTACTCCTCGTTTTACGTTTTTTTAAGTACAAAAAATAATACACATTTGTTTATGTGGATTAGTAATAAAAAAAAGCAATTGCTGTAAAATATATTTTTTTTTATCTTTTTAATTCCAGATTTATTCAGAGGTAATAAACGTACCACGCAAAATCTTATTTTGCATAATTTGCTTTAACATGAAACCAGTGCACAAAATTATTGACTTCCGGTCCCTAGCGCCCTGTATATTAGCTGATTTACCTATTTATGTAGGAGCTGCGAGTAAAAATGCTTAAAGCGTTCTGTATCCAATAATTTTAAACTATTGGTATAGACAGTGCTATTTAATAGCTAAAAATTTTTTTGAATTAACATATTTAATCTCTCGTTTGTCTACGAATAATTTAACATTTTCACAGTAGACACATACACCTCTGTGTCAATTCATGTTAGTGGAAAAAAGGTTTAACATTTACATCTGTTAATAAAGTATTTTTCCAATTAGACATTATAGAAAAGCATCAGTATAAATTAAATACTGATATGAAAATACAATTTTGTACTGAAACCTTTCCCGTGTGCGATAGCAAAAATATTTCGCTATAAGTCAAAGATAATCGGAAATTCGCGATTCAGTTTTCACCGGATACAGCGGCTTTGCGGGAACAATGGACAGTATGGGCCTGAAAGCAGCTATTGTGTGAATCTTAGCTCTATCTGCATTTATACCCTAAGGGAGCTTAATATTTTAAAATATATTTTAACGTATTTATAAAACTTCTATTATGAAATGAAATACAATTTTATTATATAAATTTAATTCTTTTTCTTTTGTTGAATTTGCAATATGTTAAAACACGCCTTACCAATTTCTTGTGTATTAAAACACAGGTAAATAGGGAATTTAGTTTTGATATTATGAATTATGCATTACGTGCAACGATTCACTTTCTGTTCTGAAATAACACATAATAATTACCTTATTAATTATAACTATCAATTAGCTAAATTTTAATAGTGAATTTCACGCTGATGTAAAGTGCAATAGACAATTTTCTTACCAACCTTTTCACAAGAAGTCAGGATCATATCTAGATTTAATAATTAATAGTGTGTTTTATTATCATTGGAACAGTAGTTAATAGTGCTATTTAATAATTGTGTTAATTACAATCGTTTAAATGTAATGTTTAGAGTTATGGTGATTTAAAACAGTGTTACGTGCTGTTTGAGTTGTGTTTAATTAGACAAAATTATTTATATGGTAAATTTTAATTATTGCATATTAAGTAAAACCAATTTTAATGTGCATCTAGTAACAATGCCGTCGGTAATAAAATATTACTAGTAAAAAAAACGTCATATTCAAACCAAAAATATTGATAACACTTAAAACAATCATTTGCTAACATCATCATATCATCCCTTCTATCTACTGCTAAAATAGGCCTCAGATAACAGCCTATACCGTACAATATCTTCCATCAAATGTTCATTATGTAAGCATTGACGAGCTTCCCAACTTACCTTGTACAAATGGTATAATATTCATTTGTTTCTTTCGAATTTTATTCTAACTTGTATTGTTGATATACTGATATACTAGACATTGCTACTAGATAGGCATTTCTTTTATAGGGTATTAATCATAATTTAAAATGAGACTAGTTATATCTCACTTATTGTAGAGCACGATGTCGGGCCGCCAGATGTGATCTGAAGGCACGTGTAGCATGTGGACGCCGCCGTACTCGCGCGGCTCCCAGCGTAGCTTGTAGTCGTACCACGACTGCTCCACCCACAAATTCGTCGTCATTATTTGGTTCTTTAAATTCTGCAACAAAACATATGATATTATAACCAGTTAACTAAATATATTGAGATACTATGGTACTTCGTGAACGAATAAGAAACGAACATTTGTAAATCATTCAAGCTGTTCAGGCTAAAGGAAAGCACAATGGAATGCTTACATATGTATGCTCGTTAAAAATACTATACTCTTATTTTAGTTGGACCAAAATCATATAAGAACTTTACTTAATAATTCAAACTGATGTAGAAAAAATAAAATTTGAATTTAAAATATGCTGTATATAGTTTTAGTTCATGTTATAATGTAGAGTTTTAGAAAAGTTATGTGCAAAGTAAGTCTTAAGTAAAACTGTTACCTAATATACATATTGCTTTTGAAGCTTTTGAAGACTATAGTCGACCAAATATAGTCACAAATGCACGACAATTCTATCATACGATAAACCGCAGTATTTATGCGGGTTGTTAATAACATCGCTCGACATCAAAAGCGATATCAGACTGTGGGTACATATATCTATATTATGTAGGATTTAAGCCACAGAAGTTATGTACTAATAGACATACATAGATTGTATAATGAAAACTGAAAATACATAAAAACATGTAAGAAATATTTGTATAGTCTTCTGCCAAGATTAATCATCTCTGTCTTGTTCGACAAATATTCAAAAACGGCTTACATATTTGGCAATGTCTGTAATTGTTGATTCATTTAAGTTACAACGTTTTTGACCACTCTATTACGATTGTGGTAAGAGAGAGGTTAAGTTAGCACAAAAGCACGTATTGTGACCTGCCAAAACTACATTCCTTTTGTTCTCGGAGCTCGGAAGCAGAGTCGCGGAGTGTTGTTGCAAAACAGCGAGTATACCCGAATATTTTAAGAGGATTACTCTGTGAGTCGCTTTGTTTTGTCGTTGGATGTGAGTACAGTCGCGCACAGTCGGGACAACGACCGTACTCCGATGTATTGCTGTCTTGCTGTACTTTTTGGTACATTTGTACAGTCAAAACTGTTTTGTTTTGCTTAAAACAAAAGTTTCATTATTTATTATTAAAAGATGCATATTATTAACGGGTTTAAATATAATTCTTTCCTTAAATAATTAATTTACCAGCTAAATTGTAGTGTAGTGTTCAATCTTCTGTTCTGATTGTTAAAGAATTTAATAACATATTCCATACATTGTTACATTAAACATTAAGCAAGTGAAAAAAAAGATAGCGATTATTTCTGCCTATATTAAATGTAGATAAAATAAGTTTGAAAATGAACAGTAAAACAGCATATCCTTATTTCTGAATACCGAAAACGTGAGATCTAAATTCGCATTACTAAGCGAAATGCTTACAACATGAATCATGTATGAGTCATCCAGAGGGCCGCCGCGGAATTTTTCCAGATATAAAGCCTTTTAACGGTTTTACGAAAATAAAGTTTATTTCTTCAACGATAGGATAGCTTTTGGGTTGTTAAGCTTATTGTACGCTTTCTTAGAAACTCTCAAACAGTGGATCTCGCGATCTTTTAAAATCAACACAAACTCAAATGCATTATCAATGTTTTTTACTACAGATACAATTTGGGATTAGTTATGCTTGATAGATTGGGTGTTAATATCTAAGTGGATTAAATTCACAATGTTAGTTTTAAATTTAATTATTCACTAAGTGAGTCATTATTTGCGCATCACAATGACTAGACACAAACTAAAAGAGTGCTAAAGC